CAATGACTATAGTAATCTATTATTTGAGAAACCCAAAGAGCCCAGCTTCTGGGATAAGAACCTACTCTTTGACAAAAACTGCTGGGAAAACTGGAAAAGAGTATGGCAGAAACTAGGCATAGACCAAAATCTCATACCATATACCAAAATAAAGTCAAAATGGGTTCATGATTTAGCTATAAAGGCTGATACTATAAGCAAACTGGGAAAGCAAGGAATAGTTTACCTATCAGATCTATGGAGAACAGAAGAATTCATGACCGAACAGGAGATAGAGAACATTACGAAAAGCAAAATGGATAACTTTGATTACATTAAATTGAAAAGTTTTTGCACAAACAAAGCCAATGCAACTATGATTAGAAGGAAGGTAGAAAATTGGGAAAGAATTTTTAAAACCAGTATCTCTGATAAGGGCCTCATTTCTAAAATACATAGAGAATTAAATCAAATTTATAAGAATACAAGTCATTCCCCAATTGATAAATGGTCAAAGGATATGAACAGGCAGTTCTCAGATGAAGAAATTGAAGCCATGTATAGTCATATGAAAAAAATGCTCTGAATCACTATTGATTAGAGAAATGCAAATCAAAACAACTCTGAGGTACCACATCACACCTATCAGATTGACCAATATGACAAAACAGGAAAATGATAAATGTTGGAGAAGATGTGGGAAAATTGGAACACTAATGCATTGTTGGTGGAGTTGTGAACTGATCCAACCATTTTGGAGAGCAATTTGGAACTATGCCCAAAGGACTATAAAAATGCACATACCCTTTGACCCAGCAATAGCACTTCTAGAGCTATATCCTAAAGAGATCATACAAATGGGAAAAGGACCCACATGTATAAAAATATTCAAAGCAGCTCTTTTTGTGGTGGCAAAGAATTGGAAATTGAGGGGATGCCCATCAATTGGGGAATGGTTGAGCAAGTTGTGGTATATGAATGTAATGGAATACTACTGTGTTATAAGAAATGATGAACAGTCTGACTTCAGAAAAACCTGGAAAGACTTGTATGGTCTGATGCTGAGTGAAGTGAGCAGAATCAAGAGAACATTGTACGCAATAACCGCCATGTTGTGCGATGACTAATATTGATAAACTTAACCCTTCCCAGCAATACAAGGATCTAAGACATCTCTAAAGGCCTTGTGATAGAAAATGCTATCCACATTCAAAAAAAGAACTATGGAATTCGAATGCAGATCGAAGTATACTATTTGCTATTTTTTTTCTCTTCTGTGAGTTGTGTTTCCTCTTTCTGGTAGTTCCTCCTATTGGTTCCAATTTTACATCATCACTGATCTGAAAATACGTTTAATAAGAATGCTATATATATATATATATATATATGTATAGCATATATCAGATTGTGTGCCATCTTGGGGAGGGTGGTGGGGAGGAAGGGAGAGAAAAAGTTTAAATTCAAAAGCATATGGAAGTGATTGTTGATAAATCAAAATAAATTAATAAAAGAAAAAGAACGATTCAAATGCAGGGGATTACTTCCTCCATTGAGAGCACTCTATTTATCTCAAACCTAGTGATTAGGAGAACAGTGGTGCCATCAACAGAAACAGACAAGGTAGGGAGAGATTTTAGCATGTAGCAGTTTTAGATGAGTTCAGTCTAGGGCATGTTGGGGTTCACGGGCATCCTCAGTGAAGACATACAGCAGGCTACTAGAGACTTGAGATTAGGGCTCCAGAGGTACATCAGGATGTGAAATATAGACTTGAGAATCATCCATGTAGAAATGATAACTGTAGGCAGGAGAGTAGATGAGATTGCTAAAAGAGGGAATATGGAGAGATGAGTTATGGAGTTATGGAAAGATGAATCATGAATTAAACAGATTTTTGGAGCTGGCTTTGGCTGTTAATTAAATGTGACATACAACAATGTTTCTATGCATAAAATGTTTTCCAAGATAGAGACTATCAAACCACAGACTATCAGACACAAAGGGGAACTTAGATCATCTAGTCCAAATAAGTGATGAATTTTGGGGACATAACCTGTTTTTAAATTTGTATTGTCTGGACCAAAAATTTCATAGAATTATGATTCCACAAAATGGCAGAGCTTGATGGGAACATGTCAATCATCTAGTCCAACTGACCTCATTTTCAGATGAAGAAACTGAGGTTCAAGGAAAGAAGTGGTTTGTCCAAGGTCATACAGCTAGTTAGTGAAAGAGCCAGGACTAACTCAGTACCAATGTGTTTTATATCTCCAGTATAAGGATGCATGATCATAATTGCTCTTCAAAATAAGGATTCTAAGTTCATGATCAACATGGGAGTAAGAGTGCTGGGAAACCACCTATGCCAGGAGGAGCAAGAGAGGAGGAAGGCATGGTGAAGGAGCTCTAAGCACAGTGCTTCAAAGCAATGGTGCTTAATAAAATGCTTGCTGACTGACTGATTGATTCCTGGGAGGCTTTTGGCAAGGGAAGGAGACCGCCTATCAGCCAGTTCTGTGGGATTACAAGTAGGGGGATAGATGGCTAGTAGGGGATTGGTTCTGTATAAGAAACCAGGAATGTTGAGGCACATATCTCCATAATTTCCCAGGAACTGAGCAAAGGCAGCCTGGAATTGCTCCTCCTCTGGAGAGCAGGGTGGAGTTTGTTTTTGGGAAAGACCAGATTGTTTTCCCTGCTGATAAAAATGCTCTTCTTCCCTCACTCTTTCCCCCTAGAAATGAGCAAAATACATTACCTACAAGTCCAGTCCAATATGACTTTGGTAGTAAAGATCCTTAAACTATATTATACACACACACATGTACACATATATGCACATATACATACATGTATGTGTGTCAATCATATTTACCATTTTGATAGCAGAGAGAGGTTAGAAAGCACAAAGGGGGAGGGGAACCAAATAGGGGATTTTTGTTTCATCTGTTTTGTTTGTTTTTTGGTGAGGCAATCAGGGTTAAGTGACTTTCCCAGGGTCACACAGCTGCTAAGCGTTAGGTAAGTCTGAGGCTGGATTTGAACTCAGGTCCTCCTGACTCCAAGGCCGGAGCTCTATCCACTGTGCCGCCTAGCTCTCCCCCAAATAGGGGATTTTTGAAAGAGTGGAGTGTGCAGAACAGAAAATCTCTCCTTGGTGACTTTGCTAAGGCTTATCCTTTTCCTCCTCACTGGGGACAATATATAGTTTGGAGGCCAGATTTGTGATGCAAAGAGTTTCATTGGTAGTCAAAGGGCTTGAACTCTGAGTCTTGTTTCAGTCACTAAGTATCTGAATTGCTGCAGATGCTGTGTGGACCTTAAAATAAGGGAATTGGATAAGATAGTTTTTTCAGGGCCCTCCAGTTTTTACATTTTCTGGTTCTTTCATGTCAATGAGCATTCTAGACTTCTTGTTCTCTTTCATCAGTGTAGGTGTTTCCTAAATCTAGAAGTTCACAGTCCTTTGTAATTTATTGCATTAATTGCAGAGGTCATTTTGGATAAGAAATTCATCAACTTGTGGCCAGCCTAGAGAGGCTCTCTCCATTCATTCAGCTAGACAGATCTTCAGACCTGATGTAGGGCCCTTCAGAGTTCTGTTCAAATCCTACTTCAGACACCCATTAGGTTTATCACCCTGGGGAAGTTACTTGATCTCACTGAGCCTCAGTTTCTTTAGCTGTAAAGTAGAGTAAATAATAGGCCCTGCCTCATAGAGTTTTTGTTAGGGAGCAAATAAGAAAATAAGTGTGCTGCAAAAAACCAATATCTAATTTACTGATGTAGTGCACCAGAGAGTCCCAGCTCTGAAGCCTGAGGACCTGGATTTAAATTTCACTTTTAACCCTTGGGACCTATGTGATCTTGAGCAAGTCACTTTGTCCTCCTTCACCTCAATTTCCCCATCTGTAAAAGAAGTGGGTTGGACTAGCTGACCTATGAAGTTCTTTTTTAGATCTCTAGGTTCAGTAAGCAGGCACACTGAGAGCACTGGCTTAGAAGTCAGAGGACCAGGGTGCTAATTCTGACTCTATTACTTATTCAGAGTATAGTGGATAAAGTGTTGAGCCTGGAGTCAGAACCTGAGTTCAAATCCTTCCTAGCTATGTGACCCTTTGTGACCAGGTCATTTAACCTGTTTGCTGCCTCCATTTTTTCATATGTTAAATGGGGATGACATCCTCTACTGCACAGGGCTGCTGTGAGGATCAAATGAGATGATAATTGTGAAATGCTTAGTTCAGTTCAAGGCACATAGTAGGCATTATATAAATGCTGTCTATTATTATTAGAAGTAATAATATATTTATATTAGAAGTATACATATTAGATTATATAATATATTAAGAATAATATATTAGAATAACCCCCCTCCTGGATCACTGTGGTGTGGCAGGGGCTTGAATAGCAAAATAAAACTGTAAGTTATGCCGTGCACTTACCCAAGACAGAGAGGTCACCGTGGAAAGTTTTGAGAAAAGGTGAGCCACTAGAGAAGGAAATGGCAAACCACTCCAGTTTCTCTGCCAAGAAAACCCTAAATGGAGTCACAAAGAGTAAGACAGGACTGAAAACGACTGAACAATAACAACTAGGTAGAAGAGGGATTGGTAAGTTCCGCTTGGTCAGAGGGCGAAAACTGGAACAACAGGCAGGAGTTGCATAGATCTAGGTTGACTCCCATCTGGAAAACCTTAGAATGAGACGGGCTGAGGTGAGGAGGTGAAGGTTCCCCTCAATGGGGCTCTTCCAAGGCTGTTGGTCGTTTTCAGATGGAAGCTACTTTTGGAGAAGGGGGTAACCTAGATTCATTCATTCATCAATCAAGTAGCATCTGCTAAGCACCTATTAAGTGCTACGCACAAAAATCAAAGGCCTTCCTCTCAAGGAATGGCCACTCTATGGGGAAACACGTGACTACTTACATGTCGAGTACCACGTCTATGCCTCGGCCTGTGTTAGGCACTAGGGATACAATGAAAGAGGTGAAACGTTCCTCGTCCCCAAGGCACTCACCCACACACCACCCCCACGCCACGCCCGGGCGGAATCAAAGCGAACCAGCTCTTGCCCACGTCGCGCCACCCTCTCTCCGGGGCCGCAGAGCCCCCGCGCCGCCGGACAGCCCGTGGCCTCGGAGGTGCTCAGACCCCGGCATCTCTGGCACCGCGCCCTAAAGGTGCGGGCAGGGCCTCGCCAGGGATTGTGGGTAAGCGCTTTAAAAGATGTCCCCGCGCGCCTAGTCGGCTAGGAGCAGTCCAGCCGGGCTCCTGTCAGCGCCATGCCACTGTCGCTCACCAAGCGCGGCCTTATGCTGCTGATGCGCGCCACAGGCTTCTTTATCCACCTCTTCGGCATTGCTGCACGAGCCTTCGACTTCCCCCTGCGCCACCGCGGCTGCCGTATAACCCAGCCCATGAGCAAGCTCCTGCTGCTCCTGTCAGGGGCGCAGCTAGCGAAACTCATCCGCCGCAGGAAGGTGAGAGGGGCGGGGCGGCGCGGGGCGGGGCAACACGGAGGCGGGGGGAAGGGGAGGAGGACGAGGCTGGGACTGGGCGCGGGCGGGTCGCGTATGCGCGACCCCCCCCCCCGGCCTCCTCGGCCTTTGGGGGGCTGCGGCGTGAGGCGAGCCGCCGGGCCGCAAGGCTTTCTGGGAGTTGCAGTTCTCGGCCTCGGTCGAGACAGCCTCACAAGTATTCCAGGCCCACTCCACCGGGGGCTCACTCCAAGCGGGCCCACTCTACCCCCACCCCCGGAACGAGCGCCTTACCCACGTTCAAGGCCAATCATTAGCTGGCAATGAGCCTGTTCTTGACTTCCTCGGCCTTCCCCTTTCCTTGCTTCTCCCTCTCCCCCTCCTCATTCAGGTCGCCTCCTCTTTCCCTTGTCTCTTTTCGCCAAAAACACGTTTAGCACCTCCTGTCCTTAGGTCTTGAGGCCTGAAAATGGCCATACCAGTTGCCTAGTCTATTCCTTTCCCTTAACAAAACGGGACACTGAGGCCCACAATAGCACAAAATGCCCCACAAAGGCTTAGTGAGCGGCAGAGCTGAGACCAGAACCGAAGGTCCCAAACTACAGGACCCACCTATCTCAAAAATGTTTGGCTGCCTCGATGATAACCTTAACTAGTTTCACTAATATGCATAAAAATATTAATGGGGAAACAGAAGGTATGTCATGTAATGGACCTTGAATAAGTCCAGTAGAAGCAGACCTGGTGCCAAAATTGTAATGTACTATACATCATGCTGAATTAGGAAATATCCACATTTTATTAAATGGTTAGTAAATATGGACTTAAGAGGCACCTTGGTAGCTCAGTGGATAGAGCTCTGAACTTGGAGCCAGGAAGACCCAAGTTCAAATTCAGCCTCAGACATGTACTTTGTGACCCTGGGTAAGTCACTTCACCTCTGTTTGCCTTAATCCACTGGAGAAGAAAATGGCAAACCACTCCCAATATCTTTGCTAAGAAAACCTCATGGACAGCATTGATGTGATATGATCTACAAAGAGTTGGAGATGGATGAATGACAAAATGTGGATGTAATGATTTTATTAAAATTATTGGCCCTAGAATTGGAAGGCCCTCCCCCCCAAAAAAAACCCCCCTCATTTTAGTACACAAGAAAACCAAGGTCCACAGCTCTTGGGTAAGATGGCAGGGGAAGGAAGCAGCAGGGCCAGGATTCCTTTCCTTTCTCTATATGCCAGTTACCCTATGTTCCATTCTTCTAGCACTGAGCTCTTTCTAATGGCTAAAGAGGTTAGTTCAGTCCAATTTCATTACCATGTCTGCTAAGGAAACTGTATAAGGACTTTGAAAGAAAAGCAGGACAATTACTGACTTGCTAATTATCAAAACCTGGTTCCTCTCTGGTAAATCTCTACAACCAGCTCCTACAGCAGTCTCAGGTAGTATGTGTGTATGTTTAGCGTTTGTCAGGGGAGGAGGGAGAAGTAGCTTCCCTTTGTGTTCTCTCCTTAGGTGAGCTGGGATAGCAATTCTTTGGAATCTGTGCTGAAAAAAAGTAGCAGGATGCAATTGCAGTTTCTAGGCATATCAGTTCTAGGAGCAAACAGAACAAAAACACGTAGACTTAGTCCCTTCCTTCCAATAGATCAAAACAAAATATGCCAAGAAGGTTCAGAAAAATCAGTCGATCTGAGAGACTTCCTTGAAGACAAGGGGCATTTTCTTGTTATATTCCTAGTACCTGAAAGAGTGCCTTTCACTTGGCAGATACTTAACATTGTGGAATTGCATGAACTAACATGAACATGGATTAAACTACACAGTCTCTGACCCTCTTTTGAGCTCTGTGATTCAGTGACTCAACTTTACCCTTTGTTACTTTACTTTTTGGAAGTTCTTGTGAGCACAACCCTCCTATTGGGATCTCTCAAGTAACTCTAACTCCCTTCTTTGTTTCAACATTAATGATATATTTTGTGTTCATTTTGTATGGATTCACTTTCAGATCATCAACCTCAATCCCTCTCAGGAGGGTGACACTTTCACCTCCCTGGTGAAGTAGCCCAAATGCAGCTGTAGGAGGCATGACTTGCGGAGGGTTTCATTAAGGCGGCTGATCCTGTCCAGTCTACTGTGATTTTTGTTGGGTTCCACCATAAGGGTAGTTCCTCCCTAACCTCAGGGTTCTTAAGATCTTCCTGGCTTTGGACAGAGATGCCAGCATCTGTATTACTTAAATGACATAGAAATGTTAGCTCTTGTTATTAACAAAAGCCTTTCTGTTCATTGAATATACTCTAAAGCAAGGGCCTTTTGGTGTGTCCTGGGCCCCTTTGGTGGTCAGGCTGATAAAGCCTAAGGACCCTTTCTCTGAATCACATTTTCTTTCTTTCTTTCTTTCTTTCTTTCTTTCTTTCTTTCTTTCTTTCTTTCTTTCTTTCTTTCTTTCTTTCTTTCTTTCTTTCTTTCTTTCTTTTCTTTCTTTCTTTCTTTCTTTCTTTTCTTCCTCTCTTTCTTTGTCTGTTTCTTTCTTTTTTTCTTTCTTTCCTTCTTTTTTTTCTTTCTTTCCTTCTTTCTTTCTTTCTTTTTTTTTTTGGCTAGGCAATGGAGTTAAGTGACTTGCCCAGGGTCACACAGTTAGTAAGTTTTATGTGTCTGAGGCCAGATTTGAACTCAGGTCCTCCTGAATCCAGGGCCAGTGCTCTATCCACTACACCACCTAGCTGCCCCCAGAATCACATTTTTAAATACATAAAATACATATTATGACAAAGGAAAACAACTATATTGAAGTACAGTTATCAAAATTTTTAAAATAATTAAAAAAAAAAAAGCTCATAGTTGCTAGGTGAAGAGCCCCTGCTCAAAAATAGGCAATGATGGAGAGCAATGAAGCTTGGATATGATTAATGATTTTATTAAAAATCATTGGCCCTAGAGTTGAAAAGGACCCCCCCCATCCCCTTATTTTAGGAAATGAGAAAACCAAGGTTCACAAATCTTGCATAAAGTCACACAGGAAGTAAGCAGGGTCAGGATTCCTTTCCTTTCTCTGTATGCCAATTACCTTATGTTCCATTCTTCTAGTCCCCAGCTCACCCATGTAGGAACATAAGGACATAACCCTAACAGCAAAGTGGGGAGCAAACCCTGTCTTACAGCTTTTCTTGTTAGAGAGCTATAGTTGAATTCTTGAAGTACATTGCATTCCTTAGAAAAAGTCTAACGACTATTTTGCTGACACAAGGGATTTTGAGGCCACATTTAATCCCTTCACCATCCACTATTCCTCAATACTTGAAATTCTGCTCCTCCATTTCACTCCCAAATTTCTTGAATGAACGAGCTATGGATTCTTGCTGCTTCTGTTCACTTTCCAACAATCCTTTGCAATCTAGCTTCTCCCCTCACCATTCTTCTGATACTACCATTTGAGTTGTCTTCCTACTTCACTCAATGTTATTCTTTTTCTTTTCATCCCCTAAACATAACATGCCTCAAGGTTCATTCTTTGTCTCTCTCCTCCTCCTTCTATTCTCTCCATACTTTCATTTTTTTTGTTAAATATTTCTTCATCCCATCCCATGTGCCAGGTATTGTGCTGAACTTCATTCACATCCTGGCATCGCTGTTGGGATGAAAGAGCTGTCTGGAGTTGGGCATGTGCTACTCAGCAGGATAGTGGGAACCTTCAGTTTGGGAGTGATTGTGAACAGCTCTCTGAGGCTAAGGGGTGGCCACTGTTTCCTGATGACACAGAGAGGGGCATCTACCTAAATTCCATTCTTGAGTACAAAGGGCTTTATCTCAACAGAAGTTGTTGACCAGCATTCTGACTGGTTTCTCTGCCTCCCCATCTCCTACCCTCTCTACTCTATCCTACACAGTACTGCAGTGTGAATGTTCCTAAAATATCTCCTCTGTCCTGTTATTCTCCTACCTACTGAAGCACCCTCCACTGTCTCCAGAACATAGGTCAGATCCCCACCAAATGCTGACCAACTACCATCTATGAGGCAGGAAAGCCAACCTAGCTGAGCTGCAAAGGGATAGACAGGAGGCAGTGCATGCTGGCAACTCACCAGGTGGTTGTTTTGTTCCCCTTGAGTCCCAAAGGCAATATCCCAGAACTGCTGGAAATATCAGTGCTCCCCACTGACCCTGCTTCCTAGCTCAGCCCCTGAAGTCATCATCCAGGAAATCACTTTCTGTGGAGATGAGACTTGTCAATGGCTTCTGTAGGTGGATCAAATGATTCACCATTACATATGGATATGGCTTTATCAGTGGAAATGACATTCAAAATTATACATTACCATCTGCTTTGTTACTCTACCCCAAGAACTACTGGGCCTTTCCAACTTGTAGCTGAAATCTACTACATGTGTTGTCTTTCCCATTAGAATGTGAGCTCCTTGTAAGCAGGGAACTGTCTCTGGTTTGGGTTTTTTTTTTTTTTACTTTGTATCCCCAGGGCTAGGTTTCGCATTTATTTTTGTCACCATACATTGATACAAGTGGCTTTCTCCACCTGGAATGACCTTTTCTTCCCATCTTGGTTTATCTCCCTTCTTTATTATGGCATTTACAGTCTGCTCTATGTTATGACAATTTGGGTCCTATTTCTATACCCACTAGATGGTAAGTTCCTTTAGAACAAGAGCTGTGTCTTAATCCTTCCTGTATCCTTGGCTATGCCTATTCTGCCTCTCATAGTGCTTTGTTCCAGGTAAGTGTACCATAAGTATTGATTAATGGAATCATTGATTGAAACCTTTCCAAATGTGCAATGCTACTTGCTTTTTAATGTGGGGTGTTTTTTTTTTTTAAATTTTGCAGGTGAAGTGTACAGATGTCATTAACACATATATTGACTGAATAAAGGAAGTGAACCCAATGATCAATGCAATTGTCAAGGATAGGTGAGTCAGAGTCCCAGGACAGGCCTTTATAATTACTCATAAGCAGGCATGAACTTGCTGCAAGTGAGAGGGAATTATAATTTTTTCCAAAGTTTGTCATCTCTTTTAGTGACAATGATTGGGAAACAAATTCTTATCTCCATATCCCTTGGGGAAAAGGCTGGTGCTTGTGGGATTCTAGATGCTTTGGTTTCATTGTCCATGACAGCTCTCTTTTGATCAGCTATCTTCATCAACATTTTATACCACAGCTAACAGCTAGGAAAAATGCTTTGGCAAGCAGCAGGGGGGGCAATCCTGCAGGGAAGGGAATGAAGCTTGCCCATCTTGGACTCCTTTCCACTGAATAACCCTTATATTCCTGTTTGGACTATTTGTCTTTCTGTGACTCAAGTTCTAAGTGACCCAAGATCCTTTCGTGATTAAAAATCAAATTGCTTTTCACAAGAGTAGAGTATTTCCACTCCTATATAGAAGACATATAAACTGAGATACTGAAAAGCCCTAATTCCATGCATTTGAGATGGACTTTTTTTGTGCTATCACATGAAATAATGGCTTCATTGGAGTAGCAGAGTATAGTTCAGATACTCACAGAAGATGCACTTTTGCTTACCAGTTTCCATATTTTTATGCTTTTTGCTTAAATGAGAGGGTTTTTTTTCCTCTCCAGATTTGAGGCTGTTCAGCAAGAAGCCTTGGCAGTAGATAAAGGCTGTCAGAGGAACAAGAAGATGAAGCAACACTAGAAAAGAAATGGCCCTTCTTAGGGGTCCCTTTGACTGTCAAGGAAGCCTTTGAGTTGCATGGTATCCTTTATTTTTCTCAAGGGGTATTTGGATTGAACTTATAGGTGATATATATTTCTCTGATCCTCTAGCAGAAAGGATAAACATTTATTAAGTGCCCACTATGTGCCAAGCATTAATGTAGCTGAATGGAATACAAGGCAATTTGGGTGGGTGGGTAGGGACTAGGAATTGGGGGAATCAAAACAGGCTTCCTGTAGGACTTAGCTTTAAGGAAGCTAGAGTGAAGTGGGTGTACATTCCAGTTCTGGAGACCAGTATGTGCAAAGGCTTGGAGATGGTCAATGCATTGATATGTACAATGAAGAACAAGGTTTGGAGTTGCCCATTCACTTAATGGCTTGAGTCCCATTAGACTTTCTAGTTTATTTATTTTTTTAATCAGGCTGCTCTGTTTGTTTTTTTTTTTTGGGGGGGGACACTGGGCACATGGGCCAACTGTGATCATTAGACCAACATGAGGCTGTTTTTTTTTCATATTCTACTACCTAGAATCCAAGAATCCAAGAATTGAAGCCAATTTGTCCTGTCTTTGTCCTAGGAATGCCCAATTCTTCAGGCCTGGTGAACCGTCAGAATGTTGTCTCCAAATCAGATGCTGCAGTAGTGGCATTGCTAAAGCAAGCTGGTGCCATTCCCCTTGGAGTGACCAATTGCAGTGAGCTTTGCATGTGGTATGAGTCCAGCAACAATGTCTATGGCAGAACCAACAACCCATATGATGTGCAGTGCATTGTAGGTGGTAGTTCAGGTGAGTTACATGTTTGAGTTAGAAGGAAGGAAGTAGTATATTAAGACTACAAAGTGAAATAAGGATCATTCAATCAATCACTAAGCATTGATCAAGCACCATAGGTGCAAATGAGAAAAAGAAAGACAGTCCCTACCCTCAAGGAGCTTGTTGTCTAATGGAGCTGACAAATGGTCCTGTTTGCCCAATTGGTCTGACTTATAAGCTAGTAGATAAAGACATAGCTACTTTAGGAAAATCTTTTCAACAGAAATGTAAACTTTGAAGAGAGATCAGTTCAAAATGGTTATTTTTCTCATGAAGACTTTCTAGCTTTAGGATGAGATTCAGTCAATAAGTATTTATTTGCTATTATATATCTAGCACTGTGGTTTCCTTTATTTAAAAAAATATTATTATGCTTTGGTTTTACACTGCCTTCCTTTCTAATTTAATATATTTTTTTAAATTTTAGTTTTTATTCTGACTTTCCAAACACAAAAAGAACATTTTCATACACAAAGTAGAATAGAAAGAGGATAATTTGTGAAAACTAGACTCTTTATGACATACAGTTTGCTTTTAAAATGTATATAATAACAGTGGATAGAGCATCGGCCCTGGAGTCAGGAGGACCTGAGTTCAAGTCCAGCCTCAGACACTTGATACTAGCTGTGTGACCCTGGGCAAGTCACTTAACCCTGACTGCCTCACCAAAAAAACAAACAAAAACCCCCCCAAACCAAAAAAAACCCCTAAAATGTATATAATAAATTAACCTTGTTACTTTTTTACCTTTTAATTTTTTTCAATTAATAGGCATTTATTTTCTCTCCCTCCCACCTCACCCTCATTGAAAAAGAAACAAAACACTTATAACAGAGTCTTATTTACAGTCAGGCAAACATATAACTTATAACATAGTCAAGCAAAACAAGTTCCCACATTGATCATGTGAAAAAATATATGTCTCATTCTACATCTTGACTCTATCACTAAATAATAATAATGATGATGATGATGATGATGATGATGATGATAGTAGCTAACATTTACATAGCATTTACTATGTGTCAGGTATTATGCTAAGCACTTTACCAATATTATCTCATTTGTTACTCATGACAACACTGGGAGGTAGGTGCTATTATCATCCTTATTTTAAAGATGAGAAAACTGATGCAAACTGGTGAAGTGACTTGCCCAGAATTACACAGTTAGGAAGGATCTGAGGCTGAATTTGAACTCAGGTCTTCTCGACTCCAGGCCCAGCACTCTGTGCACTGTGATGCCCCAGAGCTGCCTCATTGTTTCTCTGTCAGAAGGTAGGCGGTATTCTTCATCATGAGTCCTCTGGAATCCTGTCTACTCATTGCACTGATCAGAGTTTTTGTCCAAGCCAAATAACAATATTTTTTTAAAGAAAAGAAAGAGCAAGAAAAAAAAATTAAATCAGCAAAACCAATCAATACCTAAAAAAAAAGTCTGAAATATATGCCATGTTCCACACCTGTGGCCCTCTCACCTCTGCAAAGGAGTGGGGTGGAAATGTCATTTCATATCCCTTCTTTGGGGCTGTGCTTGTTCTTTGTAACTTTGCAACATTTGCTTTTGATTGTTTTGTGGTTTTCATTCTTTTCATTTACATTGTTGCAGTCATTGAGATTGTTTCCTTGATGACTTCCTTCTGCATCAATTCATGTAGATCTTCTCTATACATATCACATACATCATTTCTCACAGCACAGTCTTATTCCATTACATTCATGTACCACAATGTGTTTAGCTATTCCCTCTATGATGGGTATTTACTTTGTTTCCAATTCTTTGCTAATACAAAAAGTGCTGCTATAAAGATTTTGGTGTGTATGGGGACTTTCTCCTTATCAATGACCTACTTAGAGTAAATACCTAATAATAAAATCTCTGAGTCAAAGGATATGGACATTTTAGTCCCTTTATTTGCACAATTCCAAGTTATACCAGTGTGCCTGTCTTCCCACAATCCTTCCAATAGTTGCTATTCTCATCTTTCATCATCTTTGCCAAATTGCAGGGTATGAGGTAAAACTTCAGGGTTGTTTTGGTTTTTCATTTCTCTTATTATTAGTTATTTAGAACATTCTTTCACATGGCTGTTAATAATTTGCAGTTCTCTTGAGAATTGTTTCTTCATATCTTTTGACTATTTATATGTTGAAGAGTAGCTTTTGGTTAGATATACAATAATGTATGTATGTATCCATATTTATCTATTATTTATATGTCTTAGATAACAAATCCTTATCTTTGATAAAATTGGATACAAACATGTTTCCCTATTCTACCACTTCCTTTCTAAACCTAGATGAGTTAATTTTGTTTGCAGAAGCTTTTCAATTTCACATAATAAGAATGATCTATTTTATCTTTTGAAAAGTTCTTAAGTCTTTCAAAGTTGTTTTTAACCATTATAGAGAAACCAGAGAAGACCTGTACAAACTGATATGGAGTGAAATGAGCAGAACTATAACAATAAAATTGAAAGACAACTTTGAAAGGCATAACAACTCTGAATAATGCAGTAACCATTTCTTATGGCATAATAGCAATCCATTACATTCATATACCACAATTTGTTCAGCTATTCCCCAATTAAGTGGGGGCCCCTTTAGTTTCCAGTTCTTTGCTACTATGAAAAGAACTGCTATAAATACTTTGTACACATGGGCCTTTCTCCTCTTTAATTGATTTCTTTGGAGTATAGGCCTAGTATCATTAAGTCAAAGGCTATGCACAATTTACTAGCTTTGGAGGAAAAATTACAAGTTGCTTGCCAGAATGAGTTCACAAGTTCACAGCTCTACCAAAAGTGTAATAATGTACCTGTTTTCCTTCAACACTTTTAACATTTTTCACTTTTTCCTTCCGTCAACTCTGCCATGGGTATGAAGTAGAATCTCAAATTCACTTGTTACTTTCAAGGCCATCCTGCCCTATCTGTATTGCCTTTTGGACATGCTTCTGTTCTCTTTTTTACATTCTAAAAAGGCTCCAACGACCTGCTTTTCATCTATCTATTCATTCATTTATCTATATATTTGTTTATCTGTTTATTTAGCAGCACTATGAATAGTTCCCCCTTGCCTCCAACAATCCTTCCCCTAAAAAAAAAAAAAGAAAATCACAATCCTTTTAACAGATAAACATTGTCAAGGAAAACAAATCCACACATTTACCATGTCCAGAAACGTATGGCTTAGTCAGTAAGTTTCCTCATCAGTACTCTGGAGTCATGGTTAGTCATTTCATTGATCAGAGTTCTTGTATTGTTCAAAATTGTCTTTACAATGTTGTTATATCAGGCTAGTTGTTATAAGGCTCCAATGAGATCATGTAGTGATGTGCTGCCAAAGATACTGGAGTGCTTTGCCATTTCCTTCTCCATTTAGTAAACCTTAAACCAAAATGGAAAGAACACCCCATCTAAAGTCAGACGACCTTGATTCAAATCCCACTTCTGCCTCTTATTATATGTATAACTTTGGGTGGGATGTTTAACCTCCATGGACCTCAGTTTCTTCATTTATAAAAAGAGGGAATTGGACTAGATGACCTGAAAGGTCCCTGTCAGCTCTAGAACTCAGATCCTATGATCCTATATAAATATCTGCTATTAAATTAGAGAGGGCAAGCAACATAGAAAAGTGATAGATAAAAGAATCAGTGGGAAAATGTGGTTGATCTTCAAAATTTTGTTGTATTCTTACTTATGCTTTCCCATATTTTGAAACTCTCACTCAAGTGAGATATACCATTTCAGCAGTTAAAAGAGTTCATCTAGGTTCCTCCTGTTGGTTTTAATTATTACTTACAACATCACTAATGTGAAAATATGTTTAATAGGAATGTAAATGTATAGCCTATATCAGACTGTGTGCCATCTTGGGGAGGGTGGTGGGGAAGAAAGGGGAGAAAAATTTTAAACTCAAAAGCATATGGAAATGATTGTTGATAAATCAAAATAAATTAATAAAATAAATTTTTTAAAAAGAGTTCATCTAACCCTCAAACCACCCTGCCTCTAGTTCATGTCTGCTGCCTTCAGGGAGCAAGAAAAAAGTCCCAGCTGTCCAATGTCAGGTGATTTTAGGCCAGTGGAATAATCAAGAGATTTAGCATGCTTTTTCAGTCTGCATCTTTGTATGAAAAATACAATTTTTTTAAAAAAACTAGAACTTGTCTGTTTGGTAACAGCAATATTTCCTATCTTCATTGACAAATGATGTGATCAGATTGGCTCTGTAGAGGAGGCCCTGAAATGGAGAGAGACTACAGGCAATGAAATTGGTTAGGAACCTCAGGCACTAGTCTAGGGAATAACTAAGGGGGGCTTGGCAAGAGGCATGGCCATGAGAGTAGAAAGGGAAGGAGATGCCACCAGAGTGAGATTGTCGAAGTACAGTAACAGGGATGTGGCCACTGATTGGAGGTGGGGGGATGGCAGCCATGGAGAGGGAGATGTCAAGCTTAGTTGGCTACAAAACAAAATGCTTTAGGTGTGCCCAGCCTCCATTATCGCTTGCTCCTGTAGGTAGTCATCCACTTAAAATTGTTAAAAAATTAGAGGGGAACATTGGACCCAACCCATTTTAAATTCCATTCTTGTCTCTAAGATCTCTTAATGATCTAATTTGCAGGGGCAGATAGGAACTTATTCATATACCCAAGTTTGTTGTGTCTTCTGCAAGCAGATATTAGATGCCCCTGCCTTCTCTTGCCTCTCTGACTGAAGGTGCTGCCCTAATCCTAAATCCATACTTTGCTTATCTTTCTTTATTTATATAGGCATTATAGGTACTTTTTTTTAAGAGCTCACTATATCTGAAGTCAGAAGATTCTGACAATCTTGGTTAGTATTTTATAGCACAGTAGTTTAGGTAGTGGGAGGAGACAGGGGTAAATATTTTTATTAATATCCCTTTCCTTTTCTTTACCTCAGATTAAAGTTAGATAAAAAGGTTCCAGCACAAAAAAATAAAATTCTACTGGATGGAACATGATGGTGGCTCATTTCTAGTCTCCCAAGTGGACCAAGAACTGTTTCAGGCCCAACAGAAAGTAAGTAGGAGCAGGATTTAGTTATTTATGATAGTCATCACCTAAGAAGTGACATACTAAACTTTATCCTTTAATGATGGATATGTGGGTAATACTGTCCAAAGCCAAGTTGAACTGTTTAAATACCATTTCATGTGATGATAGCAAAAGTTCTACCAGACTCATACTCCTAGCTTCAACTAAAATAATTGTTTGTGTGTATGTATGTGGTAGAGAGAAGTCATAGTTTCAATAGATTTAGAGCTCAGAAAGATCTTAGAAGTCATCTAGTATACTCCACATTTTGTTTTGTTTTAAAAATGTTTTATTGACGTCTCTTACCTTTATGTCTTAGTCACAAATACGACATGAATAAAGGCACATCTAAATAATTAGAGAAATATGAATTGCTCATGTGCGGACCTGGCCAAATTTTAAAAAATGACAATTCTACCTACCTAAATTACTTTACTTGTTCAGCGCCATACTAATCAAAACAAAAGGAGTACTCTACAGAGCTAGGAAAAAAATATAACCAAATTCATCTGGAGGGACAAAAGGTCAAGAGTATCAAGAAAATCAATGAAAAAATTGGGAGGGAGGAAGGCCTAGCTGTACCTAATCTCAAACTATATTACAAAGCCATAATCATCTAAACAATTTGGTACTAGGTAAGAAATAGAGTGGTTGATCAATGGAATCCATTAGTTTTACAATATACAGAAGTAAATAAGGACAGTAAACCTAGTATTTGATAAACCCAAAGATCCCAGCTATTAGGGCAAGAATTCACTGTTCAAGAAAAACTTCTGGGAAAACTGGCAGATATATGTATGTGTATATATATGTGTGTATATATATGTATGTATGTATGTATGTATGTATACATATATGTGTGTGTGTTTGTGTTTCTTCATCCAATTTATGCCTAGTTCTTTGCTATAATTTAAAAGGCCACTATTAATATTTTGGCATGAATTGGACCTTTGCTTATTTCTTTGAGTTATATGTCCAGTAGTGTGATTGCCATGATAAAAGGTATGGTCAATTTAGTAATTTTTCTTTAATAATTAAAAATTGAAAGCCAAAATAGTTAGACCACTCATTTCATAGCTTCATTCAAAGTGCATCAGTGTGTTTATCTTCCACAGCCCTTCCAATATTCTTTTCTTTTTTATCCTTGCCAGTTTGTATAGAGTAATGTGAAACTTCAGATTGCTTTTATTTGCATTTGGAGCATGTTTTTCTGTGGTTGTAAACTTTATTTTCAAAGCAATTCATATTCTTTGACCACTTATCCTTTGGGGAATGAGTTGATGTTATATATTTGTGTCAATTTCCTACATAGTTTGAATATTGTTGTTCAGTTGTTTTTTAGTCATGTCCAACTCTCCGTGACCCCATTTGGGGTTTTCTTGGCACAGATACTGGAGGGATTTGCCATTTCCTTCTCCAGCTCATTTTATAGATAAGGAACTGAAGCAAACAGGGTTAAGTGACTTGCCCAGGGTCACATAGCTAGTGTCTGAGGCTGGATTTGAACGCAGGAAAATGAGTCTTCCTGGCATTCTATCCACTGCATCACCTACCTGCCCCTATATAGTTTGGATATCAGACTTTTATTAGTAATATTTTATGAAAATATTTTTTCTACTCTACTGCTTCTAATTCTCTATTTATTAATTTTATCTGTCCAAAATATTTTTAATTTTATGTAGTCAAAATTATCTATTATATCTCTTGCCATCTTTTCTTTTTGTTCGGTTAGGAATTCTCCTTCTAGCCCTAGTTGTGACAATTGCCAGATCTCATTTTAGGTTATTTTTTTATGTTGAGAGTTCTTATATTTAAGTTGTATATCCATTTTGAGTTTTTGGTAATAAATGGTATAAAATTATCTAATCATAATTTCTGTGAAACTGATTTTCAGTTTTCCTAGCTGTTCTTGTCTCCCAGTAATTTATGTTCTAGAGTTTATCAAATGTTCGCTGTTTTGGATTGTTTCTGTTTCTTGCTTATCTAGTCTGTTCCATTAATCTACTTCTCTCTTTTTTTTTCTTAATACCAAATTGCTTTGCTGATTATTGTTTTATAATACAGCTTTAAGCCTGGTAATGCTATCTCCTTTATTCATACCTTTTTTTCCTCATTGTTTCCTCTAACATTTCAGACCAAATGAATTTTGTTATGATTTTGTCTAGTTCTAAAAAGTGTCTTCTCCCAGGTAATTTGATTGGTTTAGCACTAAATCTGTAAATTAATTTAAGTGATGTTATGGGGCAGGATATTAGTGGAACACTAGCTGGGACTATAGCGATAAAGGAAGTTGTGGTGCCAATCTGAAGCAGTTTGGGTTAACTTTGCCCTTAGATTAATTGATCTGGGATCCAGCTGTGAGCTCTTTGGGCAAGAAGAAAATAAAAGTCTTATCTCAGTCAAATCCAGTACTTGACTCTTAGGCAATTCGACAAGACTCTAAGTTATAATTGAGTTGCTGATCTGCATTGGTTTCTAGACCAGAAGGTCCTGCATCAATAGAATCATGAGTCAATACAGATATATTGTATGAATACATATGTGTGTATATGCACATATATTTTAATTAGAAACTTAACTGTCTCTGATAAGCAGGTAAACATTCAGGTATCCCTGTCGTAAGCATTATTGTTGTCTGCAGTATCTGATTGGATGGTACCCTCTAGGAAACAGCCAAAGTATAAGGAAGAATTTGTTCTGCTGCCTTCACTTAATGGTCTCAGACAGAGTGAGACTTAGATAAACCCTGAAGTTAGAGGATGAGGGTCCCCAGTTTTAAGTAGCCTGTTCAATTGGAACTAATTCTTTTATTACAAAATGAGAACTTTAGTCAGTCAGTCAGTAAACATTTATTAAGGTCTTACTATGGTACTGTGCTAGGTGCTGGGGATACAAAAAGAGGCAAAAGACAGTCTCTGCCCTCAAGGAACTTAAAATCTAGTGGAGAGACAACATACAAACAAATATATACAAAGTAAAGGATATACAGGATAAACAGGAAATAATTGACAGAGGGAAGATGCTGGAATTAAGAGGGGTTGGGAAAGGCTTCCCGTAGGAGGTGGAGAAAAGAGGAGAGATTGGTTAGTATAGAGGAGGTAGCCTGGGAGAGAATTGAAGAGTTGAGGGACTGGTATTCACAGTCTGGACAAAGAGTAGTATTTGGTAAGGGAAGACAGAGGGTGGAAAACCAATAGATTATAGTTGGATAAGGGGATTTAAGAATTCTTGAACATGGAAGTGATATATTTGTGAATGATAGCAAGATTAAGGATATGACCATCTTTGTCTGTGATAAAGGTCATGGGAAGTGAGTTGGCTGAGGAGATGAGTAGTTACGGTATTTGAGGGAGAGTCAATATGTATGTTGCAATCTCCAAGTATGAGAGCAGGGGTTGAGGAGGAGAGAAAAATTATGATGCAGGCACTGTATCCATTTTGCAGCCAGGTACTGTAAACATTGAAGAAGGAAGGGTAGTGACTTGGGGGTCTGTAGACAACAGCTACCAAGATTTTGATTGGATGGTAGTTAGAAATAGCATGAACCTCAAAGGAGGAGAGGTTACTGAGTGATGGAGGTAGGGGGAGAACTTGGAAATGGCAACAAAGAGGCAAGGAGCATCCCAACTCCCTTGCCTTGATCAGTGAGCCAAGGAGAGTAAGTGAAGGTACAGCCAGTATTGGAAAATGTGGCCAGGAACTCTGTGTCATTGGGAGGAGTCAGGCCTTGGTAACTGCTAACAGATGGAATAAAAGATTTAAGATGAAGGGAAGTCTATTGTTGATGGAACAGGAATTCCAGAGGGCACAGTGGAAGGGCTGGATGGAGTTAGGTTTGAACTTTGGGGTAGGAAGGTTGAGGGGCATGAGAAAAAGGAATTGGGTGATGGGGGGTTAGGAATGGACTTTGGATGATGATCTACAGGAGTTCATAATCACTGGAATGTGATGAGTATGACCAAAAATGAAAATGTTCATCATTGAGTGGAGGACATCATTCTTACCAAAGGAAGCTGGAGATCCAGCTGGAGGCAAATACAGCATGAGATGAGAGGGATACAGTCAGATGAGAGGCCCAATTTCACTATTCCTCTAGATTTATTTGAGCTACTGTATGATGATGTAGTGCTAACATTCTAATTGGGGAGAAAAAAACAAGTATCAATTCAGAACCTTAATGTCTTTATGGGATATTGAGGAATTAAGTAAGAAAAAAAAAAAACAGAGGTCCTGAATAAATTGGTTCTTTTCTGGAGGTTTGAAGTGGGAGAAGAAGAAGGAGGGAAAAAAGGAAAAAATACTATAAAGTAGAAAGGAGGAAGGAGAAGGTAGAACTTAGAATGGGGATGTTTAACATGAAGACTATACAGACATAGAAGAAAGGGTAAGGAGAACAGGTATTAGACGAGCCTTACTCTTATTTTAAATGGACAAAGGAGAATTGAAATAATAATGTCAAATAAAAGGGCCATTGAAACTTTTTTTCAAAATGCACAGAAGAGGGGGCGGAGCCAAGATGGCACAATAAAGGCAGAGATTATTTGAATTCTCCCAAATTCCCCTCCAAACAACATTAAAATAATGCCTTAAAAGGAACTAACAAAAGGGTGGGGTGAAATAATTTTCCAGCCCAAGACAAATTAGGTTGGCAGGAAAGGTCTTCTCACTGGGGTGAGAGTAGAGCACAATCCAGTGCAGGCCCCACCCTAGCAAGCCAGCAGCATATTTTGAAGTTGACTGAATCTGTGGCTGTGGCTTCCTGAGCTATCAGCCCACAGATTGTAAGGGGGTTAGATAATTGGTTAGAGGGAGGGGACCCTTTGCTGGCAATGGTAGCAGAACTCAGTTGCAATGTCCATTACACAGTTCTTGGTCACAATCCCAGAGAGAGAAAAAGCACTAAAACACTAGTGCCTGCAGCTGCAGTGGAGCAGCAAACTTGGTCATAGTTCCAGGGTGGAAAAGAGTGCTTGTGGTCACTCACAAACCAGAGCACAGGCTAGTAGAGCAGTGACCACACCTCTCCTTACATCAATACCACCTTGGAAGAACTGGAAACTTACAGACTCTCAGAACTAGCTCTGGAAACAGCAGCACAAAAAACTGAAGTTTGGGAGTGCTCTCTTTACCCCAGGAGCAGAGCCCAACTTTAACACAAAGTTCAAAGTCAAGAAACAGGCGGGAAAAATGAGCAAATGAAAAAAAAAAAACCTGACCACAGAAAGTTACCGTGGTGACAGGGAAGTTCAAAACTCAAACTCAGGGGCAGCTAGGTGGTGCAGTGGATAGAGCACTGGCCCTGAAGTCAGGAGGACTTCAGTTCAAATTTGGCCTCAGACCAAACACTTGACACTTACTAGCTTTGTGGCCCTGGGCAAGTCACTTAACCTCAATTGCCCAAAAAAACAAAAAAAAAAAAAGAAAAAACCTCAAACTCAGAAGAAGACAACAAAATCAAAACTGCTACGTCAAAAGCCTCAAAGAAAAAAATGTGAATTGGTCTCAGGTCCAAAAAGAATTCCTGGAAGAGTGAAGGATTCAAAGGATTTCAAAAATGTTTAAAAATGATTTGAAAAATCAAATAAGAGAGGTAGAGGAAGAACTGGGAAAAGAAATGAGAGTGATTCAAGAAAATCATGAAAAAGGAGTCAACAATTTGTTAAAGGAAGCACAAAAATACTGAACAAAATAGCACCTTAAAAACAGAATAAGACAAACGGTAAAAGAGGAACAAAAATCCATTGAAGAGAAAAACTCCTTAAAAAGCAAAATCAGCCAAACAGAAAAAGATGTTAAAAAAAACTCACCAAAGAGAAGAACTTCTTAAAAAGTAGAACTGGCCAAGTAGAAAGGGAGATACAAAAGATCATTGAAGAAAATAATTGCTTAAAAATTAGAACTGGGCAAGTGGAAGCTAGTGACTTCATGAGACTCCAAGAAACAATAAAACAAGACCAAAATAATGGAAAAAATAGAAGAAAATGGGAAATATCTCATTGGAAAAACAACTGACCTGGAAAATATATCCAGGAGATATAATTTAAAATTATTGGACTACCTGATTAAAAAAAAGAGCCTAGCATTATATTTTAAGAAATTATCAAGAAAAACTGCCCTGATATCCTAGAGCCAGAGGGTAAAATATTAATCAAAAGAATTCACTGATCATCTCCTGAAAGAGATCCCAAAATAAATACTTCCAGAAATATTGTAGCCAAATTCCAGAGCTCCCAGGTCAAGAAGAAAATGTTACAAGCAGCCAGAAAGAAATAATTCCAACATCATGGAGCCAGTCAGGATAACGCAAGATTTAGCAGCTTCTACATGAAAGGATTGGAGTATGATATTCCAGAGGAAGGCAGAGGAGCTAGGATTACAACAAAGAATCATTTACCCAGTAAAACTGAATATAATCTTTCAGGGGAAAAATAGCATTCAATGAAATAGAAGACTTTTGAACATTCCTGATGGAAAGACCAGAGCTGAATAGAAAATCTGACTTTCAAATACAAGACTCAGGAGAAGCATAAAGAGGCAAACATGAAAAAGAAATCATAAGGGATTCAATAAAATTAAACTGTTTATATTGGCAAGATGATACTTGTATATATGGGAAGATGATACTTGTAACTCCAAAGAGCTTTCTCATTATTAGGGCAGTTAGAAGGAGTATACATAGGCAGACCCTCAGGATTTCTTGACAAAACAGAAACAATTCCTATTTACATTCACTCTGAGTCAATCAGGGACCCAGATGGCTCCAGGGGAGAAAGTAAGGCTGGTGACTTTGCACAGCCCTCTCTCACTTAAATCCAATTTGTTGCATGTCATGGCATCACCTCCCTGATGTCATGGTCCTCTTCCAGAACGAAGGAGAAACAACAACAACAACATAGGGAGAGGGCATGGGTGTGAGTTGACCATGGTGGGATGATACTCAAAAAAATAAAACAAAAGTAAAAGGTAACAAAGAGAGATAACAATGATGGGATGTTATCATAAAAAACTAAATTAAGATGTGAGAAAGAGGGATGCCCTGGGAAAAGGGGAAAGGGAGAGGTAGAATGGGGTAAATCATCTCACACAAAAGAGGTAGAAAAGAGCTTTTATAGTGCAGGGGAAGATTTGGGGAGGCAAAAACACTTGAACCTTATTTTCATTGGAATTGGATCAAAGAAGAAATCTATTCTTACCCTACAGAGAAGCAGTAGGTGAAGGACACAAGAGAAGGGAGTGTGTTGCTGATAGAAGTGAGGGAAGATTGGAGGAGGCAGTGGTCAGAAGCAAAATATTTTTGAGGAGGAATGGTGTCAAAGGAGAGAGAGAGAGAAAGATAAACAGAGAAAATAGGATGGAGGGAAATACATAGTAATCATAACTGTGAAAAAATTACAGCAAGTTTCTCTGCTAAAGGCCTTATTTCTCAGATTTATAGAGAACTAAGTCAAATTTATAAGAATACTAAGTCATTCCTTAATTGATAAATGGTCAAAGGATATGAACATGAAGTTTCAGATGAATATTTTAAATCAATCTACAGTCATATGAAAAAATGCTCTAAATCACTCTTGATTAGAGAAATACAAATTAAAAGAACTTCAAGGTACCACCCCACACCTATCAGAATGACTAATGTGACAGATAAGGAAAATGAAAAATGATGGAGAAGATGTTGGAGAGGACACTAATGCACTGTTGGTGGAGTTGTGAACTGACCCTACCATTCTGGAGAGCAATTTGGAACTATGCCCAAAGGGCTATAAAATACTTTGACCCAGCAATATCTCTACTAGGTCTGTATCCCAAAGAGATAAAAAAAAAATTAAAAAAAGGACCCATATATACAAAAATGTTTATAGCAGCTCTTTTTATGGTGGCAAAGAGCTGGAAATTAAGGGAATCCCCATCAATTGGGAATAGCTGAACAAATTGTGGTGTGTGATTATGATGGATACTATTGTGCTATAAGAAATGACAGGCAGGATTCTCTTAGAAAAACCTGGCCTTACAAAAATGGATGCAAAGTGAAATAAGAAGAGCCATGAGGCATTGTACATACTAACAGCAGTATTGTATGATGATCAACTATGAATGACATATTCTCAGCAATACAATGACCCAAGATAATTCTGAGGAACTTATGATGAAAAAATGCTATCCATCTCCAGAGGAAGAAATGATAGATTATGAATGCAGATCAAAACATACTTTTTTCTTTATTTATTTTTCTTGGGGGTTTTTTTGTCTTTGTTTTCTTTCACAAAGTTATTAATATGGAAATATGTTTTCATGTCTGCACATGTGTAACCTACCTATATCAAATTCCTTGCTTTCTCAATGAGGGGGGAGGTGAGGGAGGGAGAAAATTTGGAAATCAAAATTTAAAAAAACAAATGTTAAAAATTGTACATGTAATTGGGAAAAGTAAATATTAAATATATTTTTAAAATATAAGAAATGATGAGCAAGATGATTTCAGAAAAACCTGGAAAGACTTATATGAACTGATGCAAAGTGAAGTGAGCAGAAACAGGGGAACACTGTACACAGTAACAGCAATATTATATGATGATCAACTGAGAATGACTTAGCTAATCTCAGCAATAATGATCCAAGATATTTCTGAAGGACTTAAGATGAAAAATGCACTCCACCTCCAGAGAAAGAACTGATGGAGTCTGAATATAGATCAAAGCATATTACTTTTCACTTTCTTTATTTTTCTTGTTTTTCTTTGGTCTGTGTTTTCTTTCATGAAAAATGTTTTGCAAAACTGCAAATGTTTAACTTTAAATTGCTTGCCTTCTCAATGAGGGGGGAGGAGTGGAAGGGAGGGAAAGAATTTGGAACTCAAAATTTTTTTTTAAATGAACGTTAAAATTGTTTTTAAATGTAATTGGGAATAATAAAGTATTTTAAAAGTAAAATGTGCAGAAGAGAATTGAAAGAAGTTCAGAAGGAAGCACAGATCAATGGGACAGTTTTGAAACTGTTTAAAACAACATGTATGGAATGGAAATTCATGGTTTTCTATGAAATCTTTTTGTGTTCTGCTGTAAAGCAATAACTAAAAGATAATACCTTGCTTGAAGTATATAGAAACAGTTTACTGTTTTCTATCAGATTGGGTTTCCTTGTGAATCTGAAACTTCCTCCCAAACAAACCCTCGACTCTGTGCATGGCCCAGCAGGGTCTGTGTAATGACAATGGATTATTTGGAGCCATGTAAGGAGTGAAAAAGGGGTCTTGGTCATAACCAGGTCTGACTCAACAACCTTAGCCTGGCAGCACTTCTATCATTGTCTGTTTACCTTTCAGCCAGAATGGTAAGTTAGCCATTCACCATCCAAGAGGTATCGGTTCCCGAATTCACCTCCTTGGAGTCCTTGTTTGTGATCCATAGGATACTTTACTCACTTTGATGTAGCCAGAGTTTTCAACTGATGAATTTTTTTTGTTTTTACTTCTCTTTGGTCTTAGGTGGTGAGACATCTGGAGACTGTGCTAGGTGCCTCAGTTCAGCATGTAAAACTTAGACAAATGAAATACTCTTACCAGATCTGGGTCACCATAATGTCGGCCAAGAACCATGATGGCACGGTATGGTGTCATGGGATTGTGGTATCATGATATGCTTTGAGGACTGTGGGTTTGATGTGGCTGAAAATACACCCCATTTCATGCAGTGGGTGACAGAAATGCTGATTTTTAATCCTGCAACTCATGTTTATAGTGACAAGAACTTTGGAGGAAGCCTGCTTCTTCCTTGATCATATTTTTTTTTCTTTCTACAATTCTGTTTTTAGCTCTCTTGGCAAATTTTATACTAACATGAAAAGGCAGCAAATTTTCTAATATTCCTTGTTATATGGTTTTCTGCTGTATCTCAGAGTCTCAGAATTTCAGGGCTGGCTGCAGGTCAGGAGGAAGCTGGGTAAAGGAAGCCACAGTATTACTTTTCTCCTATAGACAAAAAGGATGGCCTGGTCAGTCCTCAGGAGAAAGGGATTGTGGGGGGCAGTTAATTTCTTCAATTGTATCTCTCTCTATAGACTTTTCATTATGAGACCTGGGAAGAGCAGCTGAGGAGATCTCCCTGACCCATTTGCTTCAAAACATCATTCAAACAAGTGTTCAACTATGTGTGTTTTGTTTGACAAATTCAAGGAAACGGTGAAATTCCAGGAGCTGCTAGGAGATCATGGAAAGCCTGTGTGGCCCCTCTGGGAACTGGTGAAGTGGGTCCTTGGGATGTCAACATACACCATCCCTTCTATTGGTATATCCAGCCATCTTCTCTCACAGGGAAAGGGCAGCATGCAAGAAGCCTTGGCAAATTTTTAGTCCTGAAAATCCTTGAAAACCATTTTGCACAAGACAATGGATGAGGCCATCTGTGAATCGTGGGGGTGGCTAACCTGCCAGAAAGACAGCTCTCCATCTGGGGAGTATTGCCAAAATGTTATAACTTGTAAACTAGTCATGAGGAAAAGGGTTGGGTGGTAGGTACTGCCCTGGAAGAAACAGAAAGTGGGTTTAGCCTATTGTATTTCTAATGGAAGCTCCTGTGATCTCATGAACCTGGAACATTGCTTTGCTTATCCCCTCTAATACTGGTAATGATTGGCCAGACTTTTGTTTAGCCACAAGCTTGCTGTTCTTCTGGCCAGTGGAACTATTACCTATTGGTAGGCCATGTTTTCTAGTTCATGGAGTAGGATTATCAGGGCATTGGAGTTCTATTGCTAATGCTAAACCACTTAAGATAGTGATCTGAAGAAAATTACACACCCAAGTGTCACTCAGTCATCCATTATTGAAACCATGGCTTCATTTTTGCCTCCTCTTCCTCCCTCACTTCCCCATATCTAGTTAATCAGCAAGTCTGGACAGTTCTTCCTTCCAAATATTGAACAAATACATTTCTTCCCTATCACCACTGGCACTATCCTAGTCTAGAGCCTCATTACTGGGAGGGCTTCAGTTTGGGGGGCAGGGGAGTATGCTAGGTTTCTTTTCGCTGTTTTCTTTAATGATTATAGTCTGCAGACAAGCCTTGTATGCTAGATATACTGTGTCCCAGAGGATTTGGGCATGAAAATGTAGCCTATGATTTGGAGCAGGAAGCTACCATAGGGCTATTTAGCTACTAGGAAGAGGCAGCAGTTTAAGCTGCCCTAAGCTGATGGTCTATGAAAACTTTTGGTGGCAGAGCATCTTGACTCTGTCCTTCTTGGTGATGAGAGATAAATGACCTCCTGGGTTGTGCCATGGATATAGCAGGAAAGGGTGCTGAAATCTAAGGAAAGAGAGAAAGCTCTCCTTCCTTAGGTGTCTAGTGTTCGCAAGGCCTGGATAATTCCTGTGAGGTAAAGTATGAGGAACAGAGACTATATGTGAAAATACTGTCCCAATCAGGAGGTATTAAATGTGAGTGCTCTTTCTAATTTCATATTGATTTTTATTGTCACCCATAGGTCTGGGCCTGCTGGAGTCAGTTCTCAAACATGACTCTCAAACCTATGCCAAGTTTGAAGAATTAAGGCAAAACCTTTGGTCAGAGCTTGTAGGCATGCTGGGAAATGATGGGGTCTTCTTATACCCCTCCCATCCTCAAGTGGCTCCTAAATACCACTTCCCTCTGACAAGGCTTTTCGACTTTGCTTACACAGGTGGGTTCCAGATTAGAAAGAGATGAGGTTGTCCACTGTTCATCCACAGAGCTGTCAGTCTTGGGGCATTCATAGGTGCACACTGTAACTGTCTTACAAAGCCAAAGTCTGCCAGTTTACCTGTTCAGTGCCTCTATTCATAACCATTCCAACTGAATTCTAATACAACTGTGAGGCCCTTGAAGGCTTTGGGCATGTGTAGCCTGGAGAATCAATTCAGTGGGGATGTTGTAGTTGTGTTTGAAGGATTGCCAGGTGGAGGGGGGATTTGATTTGTTCTGATAGCTCCAGAAAACAGACCTACATGGCCACTGAAGTCCTTTCCTATTCTCAAATTCTGTGATTCTACAAAACCACACACTCCTGCCTTCTTAATGTAGTAAATTCCCATAAAACTATCAAGATTTCCCTACTTTTTGCCCTCCCTTGCACTAATTTGCTGGAATGGCCACATTAAGGTCGTCTCCTTATCCTCAGTAGGTATTCATATGCACTGACCACAAGGTTCCCAATGGATTGAGACTCATTTGTTTCTGAGCATACTCCTCTCTCCATTCCCCTTACCAGCAAACCTTCCCTTGTCACAAAACCAGGTGGCACTCTGCTCCTTCCTGACTGCACACACAGTCCCCAATCTCATCTCCTTGCTTCTCTTGCACCAAGCATGGTTTCATTTCATTGGTGCATTCCCCTACTTGTTGTCCTCATCGCACAGTGATCTTTTCAGCACCATTCATTTGTAGTTTTGGAAAAACTCACACAGCCACAGTGCCAAAATAAGGTAACGTGCACACGGTTAATTATGACCTTTCCTTTTGTGCTGGCATGCCCTCTGAACTTAGAGAAAGCAAATGAAACAGCTACAATTTTCTGTGAAGAAAGTGGAATGAATGAATCTTAGAAAGCAAGTGTGATTTTCAGAATGTTATTCTTCTGTTCCCTTTAGGCATCTTCAATGCCCTGGGCTTGCCTGTGACTCAGTGCCCACTTGGCCTGAATAGCAAGGGACTTCCTCTGGGTATCCAGGTGGTAGCTGGTCCCTTCAATGATCACCTGACTCTGGCCATGGCTCAGTACCTGGAGAAGAGTTTTGGTGGCTGTGTCTGTCCTGGAAAGTCCTAGAATGACCTTTCCGCAATTCAGATTTATACAATTTGTGAGTAACAAAGAGCTAAGAGGAATAACTAACATTCAGTTCAAAAAAGATCTTGATAAGCTTTTATAGAGCAAATCTAACAGATGAATGAAATTTAATGATGGATAAAGTTCAACATCTGGATTCAAGAAATCAATGGCACAAGACAATGGAGAAAACATGACTAGACAATTCATGTGAAGAAGAGTTGGAGGCTTTATTGGACTGTAAGCTCCACATGACCACAACAGCCCACAAAGTGCAAACAATCTTAGGTTGCATTGAGTCACGGGGCTTGAGGAGACATCATATTCCTTTTTGGACTCTGTCCTGGTTAAGCCGTATGGAGTGTTTTGTTCCATTCTGGCACCATATTTCAAGCAAGATGCAAATAAGCCTAAGTGTGGGGTACAAGGAAGTAGAAATCATATCATATAAGGGAACTTTTAGCCTCTGAGTGTAGCATCTATGATCCTAACATTTTAAGGATGTTAGGAAGCAGGAGCTAGAAATCTAATCAGCAGTTGGAGCAGGGGACTCTCACTGTTCCTTTCCTTGGAAAGTTATTTCCCCATCTCTTCTGGCCAGGCCATAGTTGTATTGGCTAGAAGAATCCTATCGCTAGCACTATAGTGGTTGTGACTAGAAGGGATTGGGGTTCATTTGAACTCCCCTTTCCAAACAGCCCTCTATAATTGTATTGGCTGAATGGGGGATCCTATTGCTAGCACTGTAGTGAATGCAATTAGAAGGGCCTGGAGTTCATTTGAACTCCCCTTCTTTTGCATCTTTCACATTTGGCCAATAGATCTCAGTTTAAAAAAAATGGCTATTCAAAGGAGAGGGATAATTCATGAGGATTAGCAAGCAGAGTACCTTCTGAGGGAAACTCCTGGAGCAGTACAAATGGCTAAATCTCTTGAAAATAATTTCCAGAAACTGAACATTCATTTTCAAAACTAACCTTTAACATTCATATGCACATTTCTATAAAGAAGATGGCAGTCAATCATAAATCAATGCCCTCGTCCTCCCCAGTGAGGGTTTCTTCATTAGACACAAGATTCCATAGCTTTATAGCTCATAAAGCCAGAGTATGGTCTTTAAAAGATGGAGAGAAAGTAGGAGAGAAAAGAACAGAGAGAAAATGGAGACTTCACAAGCCTTCAAGGTCAACGAACATAGAGGGATTTGTACTGCAGGTCCAGTGGGGCGAAAGAAGAGGAAGATGATTAAGGATAGCTCTTTGTGCAGAGGAGAGGAGGAAAGAGTTACTGATTGCTCCATCATCTGGCCTGACAGGCATGATGAGAAAGAGATGGGGGGGGGGTTGTATGAGAGATGCAGCTAAGCAGTGCCCCGCAGAGACAGCCAGCAAGTATTTGTTAAGTACCTACTATGTGCCAAGCACTCTGCAAGAGCCTTCCTTACAGTATTCTTCCCACTCCTCCTGGACACTTGGAAGCTAGTCTGACAAAAATTGCCCATTACCTCTTTGGCATCTCCTTAGACTGCTTGCTGGGATTTGTAGGCAAAAACTTAACTTGTGCATCCCAAGCTGTTATATATGTTATATTGGATGGCAACCAACTTCATTTTGATGTGCCTCCCTTTTCTAAGAGATTATTCTAGTTTGAATCAATAAGTTCTTTTCCTGTTAACAACAAAGTGTCTACTTCAATCTAGGCACGTGGTCTAACATTGCCTACCTTCTCAAAGTTTTATTATGCTGTTTTGAATCCTTATGGGGCAGGGGAGGCAAATGTGCTCCTCCCCTCCTTCCTCATTATTCCATACACTCCAAGACTCCGCATTGCACAGAAGTTCTGTATCTCTAGGGATATATGTGAATCCTGTTTTGATGTTGGTCCATGGCCTAAGAGCTTAGTGATTAAGACCATCAATAATGAGCTCCCCCTAATGCTGCAGAAAGAGAATATGAAAGATTGAGAGCTTAGAAAAAGATGGCTGATGATTAGTAGCCCACAAAGACTAATTAAGCACTTCCCAACCAATGCCCATCCTTCTCATGTCCAGATGGTGAAGAAAAAAGGGAAAATGATGACCACATAGTTGTTGTTGAGTCGTGTTGGACTCTTTGTGACCCCATGGACACAAAGGCCCTTCTATCCTCCACTCTCTCTCAAAGTTTGTCCAGGCTCATGTTTGTTATTTCCATGACACTATCTATCCATCTCATCCTCTGCCATCCCCTTCTCCTTTGGCTTTTGATCTTTTCCTACATCAGGGTCTTTTCCAATGAGTCCCATCTTCTCATGTGGCCAAAGTATTTCAGCTTCAGCTTAAACCACATAGTTATGGGTCTCGTTTTCCCTGAGTGGTGATTTGGGGTTGCCAAGTTCTGCTGTATCTAGAAAGCTGTTCTATGGCAAGTTTCTTTTAGAATTGAATTAGTCGGATTTCTGAGCCCTGGGTGCTGGCTTGTTTGAGCCTTAAAAAGCTGATCATTGGATCCTGCTGGCAATTAAAGCCCATGAAAAGTAGTTCTTTCCAGAGCTTCAGGGTTCCCCGATTCAGCATGCATTTTAACCACAAGTTCTTTCCAGAGTTTGAGGGCTCCCTGGTTCAGCATGCATTTTAACCACAAGCACATAGAATTTTATAGCTAAAAGAGGCTTCTGAAATCATTTATTCCAATTCCTTTGTCTTATGAATGTGGAAACTAAGGTAATATTGGACAAGTCACCTGTGTCTCAGTTTTCTTATCTATAAGATGAGGGGATTGGACTATATGGCCTCTTCTCCTTCTAGCTTAAAAGCCCATGTCCCAGAAGGCAAGGCCAAGCTAGAACTTGGACTTGTGGCCTTCTGCTTTCTTGTCATACCTGTCCCCATACCTTCTCCCCCCAGGGCTACCTCACATCCCTCTGAAGTTCAAGGGCTGAAGTCAATGCATTTGCTGCTTTTCCCTTTTTAAAAAAAGATTTCCTTTCTATTATCATGAACTTGACAAATGCCAACAAAATGAACATTTTCCTATATAAAGAACAGAAAAAAGAAGATTGTATATGGAGTTGTAAAGCTCCACTAGGTACAGCTTAGGAAGTTTTTGTGTTTTTCAAAGTTTAATTCATACCCACCAAATTGTCTTGAGCATCAATTTCCATGTACTTTCTGGGTCCAGACTGTCTTCTCACCTTGTTCCTATGTTTCACACCCAACCTTTTTCTTAGTTCTCTCAGGTTTTCCTTACTACTGTTGCTGTACCCTAGTAAATGCTTCAATCTTTTCTCCATGTAGCTCTTGTTGCTGCTTGCCTGATCTTATCTTCAGTAGGGCCATGTTCAGTGCAGACATTTAATTGCAACTCTCTCTTGGCTAAAATATGAGTTTCCAACTCTAGGTCCTAATTGACAGATTTGGAAAACAAATGACACAAGTAAAAGCCACACTGTTGCTCTTGAAGCACAGAGTATATCTAACAAATAAAGTCTGGGCAATTCTGTTTCCTCTTCCTCTTCATTGTTTTGATGTAAATGCCACACAACCTAATCTTCACTTGTTCTGAATCACTTGATTTTTACTTAAAAACTGGAGTTTTTTCCTTACTATAACCCTTAGGGGCAGGGTCTTAGCAGATTTAAGGAGTAAAGTCTTAACTAGCCTTTTTGGTACCTAGGGCTATCTGGGGAAGGAGAGAAGATAGTGTGTCCTGGGATAGTACTCTTGTCTTCCTCTAAATTTTCCATCCTAGAGCAAACCACCCCAGTGTGGTTAAGGATCTGTCCAAGGACCGGGGTGGGGGGGGGAGGCGGTGTCTCTCTGGCCAAATGCCATCAGAAACCAAATTACATTCTGCTGTCCTGGATTGCCATTTCTTGGGCCTTGGCATCTTAGTACTGTAGCTAAATTGGCAACCTGTGGGCTAGTTCAAATACAAAAAAACAAAAACAAAAATCAAGTCCTACTATGAAAGAAGATATTGGATTCCAGAATGCTAGCACCAAATCATCAGCAACAAGCATTTAGTAAGCATATACCATGTACATGTGCTGAGCCTTGGGGATGTAAAGAAAGGAAAAAGGTAGTCCCTGCCCTCAAGGAGCTCACATTCTAATGAGGAGACAACAAGCAAACAGTTCCTAGATGAGATAAATATATAAATACACATTCATACATATGAAAAGATGAGATGGTGAAAGAAAAAAGGTGATTGAGGGTCAGTTATATAAATAGTGATGCACTATTAGGAAAAACTTAATTTTACCTCCATAAGAAAGCTTATCTACCAGGTGAAAGGCTGGTGGGAGGAGGCCACCCAAATATTGGGAAATTCAAGAGGAAAGGGATCCAGAGGTCCCCAAAAATGCATGTCCAAAATTCTCTGCTATGGCAGCATTATGAATTTTCTCTTCCTTGGGTCTACTTCTGGGTTGCTCCTTCTGAATAAATTTGAAAACTAGGGCTCAGCAACAATAATACTGATCTCCATTGCTATCTGATACATGTAAAACTAAAAGGAAATATAAATCACACCTCTTGGTTCCAGATTTGTGAATGTTTGTTCAAATTGTCCCACCCTCCTGGGCAGACCAGGCAGGACCCCAAGGAACCATGAGGATGCTTTGACCTGTGCTTAAACATACTTCCTCGGTTCCATGTTGTCACCAATGTGGACTAGATTATTTTAATGCTTCAATGTTTCTAGCGTCTGTGGTTGTGGCTCTTCATTACCTTAATGGACAGTGTCATGAGTGGTCATAAAAAACAAATCACTACTATGTGGTTAACCCATGATGATAAGCTTCTCCAAATTTAGCTAGAGTGATACTTGAATGACAAGCATACAGTCACTGTGTGCTGCATCACAGAAAAAAACAACAGAAAAAGAAAAAAAAAGTCTTCTTAATCTCAGATCAGCAATGTCCCCCCAAATCTGGCATATACCATTAAATATATGACTGGAGAGGAAGTTGTTTAGGTCAAAGTAAAAGGCACACAATTCTGATTCTTGAAGATTTATTAACTTTCAAAAGCCTGTTAATTAAGAATCCTCATTAATCTCTACTCAGTAGGTGACTTTGCTTCCTGATTTGCTGAGGTCAAGGTCATCTGATATAAGTTCCCTCATTACCCCCCCCCCATGGCTTCATCTTTCCCATATTGTTGCTCAATGAGGTGTAGGGTGTGTTCAGGAAAGACTAGTACCTGTGGTGTGAGGGCTGCTGAGCCCTTTTCAGGGCTGCTTTCCATCTTTGGTGTCCATCTGCCACCTAACTCTCACTTGTGGCTCCAAGAAGCTGTAGCATACACAATGGCCACACCCTGGTAAACTGTTTCAGCAGATGGGCTAAACCAGTTTGAGGCTAACTGGTGGGCCTCAGACCCATTGGTGAGTTAGGGGGCTGTCTACCCCAAGCATATGAAGACATCCCTAGTGGAATAGGTGGATGTGAACTGTTTGTTCCAACAGACCATGAAGGCAGTGGAAACAGGCACTTTTGAATTCTTAGAGCTTGGTGAGACATTGAAGATGCCAAGGTCATCCATTATATCATGAGCCACCACCAGTCATCTTGACTTTTGTCTTGCCACTGGACTTTAATGACTCTGGAAGAGAGAGTAAGGCTGAAGACTTTGTGCAACTCTGGCTCACTTAAATCTAACTTATGCATGAGTCAAAAGACATCACCCATGCCATTTTACTATTTTTACCTACCTCAAAGTCCTGTGGTGATGAAGCAGCAGATGCAGATACACTGGGAGCTATAGTCAGAACCCTGTACACAGGTAGCCTAGACCATAAGGTCATCTTCTCACTGGACTAAAACAGCAGTGGGATTTGGCAGCCTCCTTGGGTGTCTGAGGAACTTTTTGGAAGTACTGTACTGCTCACCTCCTGGCATGAGAAAGGGGCTAGAAAAAGTGCCCTAAAAATTGTCTGCCTCACCCAACCTTGGTGTGCTTACCACGCAGGTGGGGATCCCACCCTGCAGATGAAACACACACACAAAAAAATGAAGACCTGGAGACCCTCATCATCAATGTGCTGAAAAATGACAAGCTTATAATTCTGACTTTAATGCCAGAGTAGGCACAGAATATCAAACACAGCAGGAATCCTTGGGAGGAACAGAGTCAGAAACATCAATAGCAATGGTTATTTACTACTGAAGACTTGGGCATCTCATGATCTTTTCATCACCAACACTGTCTTCCATATCTAAACAAAATAAAACTTCATGGATTCACCCTCACAGCAAACATTGGCATTTAATCTAGCACTTCTTAAACTCCATATGGGGTCATGAAAAATTTGGCAACAGTAAAAGGTTTTTGAAAGCTCAACAACTAGAAATTAATTAAAAATCAAAGGCATAATGAGTCTGAGGTGTTTCTGGCAGCACTTGCCCATGTTATATTGTGCAATTTCACCACAGCCTTGGTTCTGAACACACAGCATGTGTACTTTGCACTGTGCATGCTCTCAGGCCATGCAACACCAATGAATGCTGCTGAAACTGAAAAAGGGGTCATGGGTGGAAAAAATTTAAAAAGCCCTGTAATAGACTATGTCATTGTAAGAAGAAGAGACAAGCAGGATATGAGATTGGTGAAAGCAACGTGTGGTGCAGAATGCTGGACTGATCATAGACTTATCTTTTCCAAGGTAAACATTCTTAAAGTGGCAGTCCCAAGGCAAGACAACTATCAGAAGACTTAATGTCAACAGATTAGAGTGATTCTCCTTGCATGAATAGTTTGTTGCTAACTTGGAGGGAGAGCTGAGCTAGCACACTATTGGGAAAAGTAGAGCAGAAAAAGAGTACTGCACCTACTTATCTGGGTCAGAACACTTGCAAATATCAAGATTGGTTTGATGAGAATGATGGGGAAATTCAGAAGCTACTAAATGGAAAAAAAAAACAAACCAAGAACTCCAAAGGGTTTACCAGCAGGGTAGTTACTCCATCTCTAAGAAAGCAGCGTTTAACTCCATCAAAAGTAAAGTGCAAGCAAAGCTTAGAGAGATGCAGGATTCTTGGCTCAGTAAGAAGACAGATGAAATTCAGTTTTATGCCAATATTAACAATCCAAAGCATTTTTATGATGCCCTGAAGGCTATTTATGAGCCAAAGACCTATGCTACATCTCAACTACTGAGTGCTGATGGAGCCACACTGATTAGTGATAAGAACATAATCCTGGAGAGGTGGGCTGAACACTTCCATAGTGTTCTAAACAGTCATTAATCAATGCTGAAGCCACTGACCTTATACCTCAAGCTGAAGTCAATTCCTCTCTAGTGGAACTTTCAACTGAAGACCAGGTTTTGAATGCCATTAGGCTCCTCTCCTGTAGTGAAGCACCTGGTGCTGATTCTATTCCAGCTGAGATTTACAAGGTTTGTGGGTAAGCTGACTGGAATATTCTAGGCTATATGGAAAAGGGAGGTTATCCTTCAGGAATTCAAGGATACCTCCACTGTCCATCTCTACAAAGGTAAAGGAAATAGATTGTCCTGTGACAATCACACAGGGGTCTCTCAGTCATTGCTGGTAAGATTCCTGCCAGAGTTCTCCTTAAAAGACTGATCTTTCACCTGGAAGATGGCCATTTACCTGAGAGCCAGTGTGGCTTTAGAAAGGGACTGGTTAATATAGTATTTGCTGCCTGGACAACTCCAGGAGAAATGCCAGGAGCAGAATAGAGGTATATACGCAACATCTGTGGATCTGACCAAGGCCTTTGATACCATCAGTTGGGAGGGCTTGTAGAAGATCACAGCAAAATTTGGTTGTCCAGAGAAGTTCATCAGTATTGTACACCAGTTTCATGACAGCATGCTTGCCTGGGTTATAGACAATGGACAATGCTCTCAAGCTTTCCCAATCACCAATGGAATGAAGCAGGCTGTGTGCTTGCTCCCATGCTTTTTTTTTTTAAGGCAATTGGGGTTAAGTGACTTGCCCAGGGTCACACAGCTACTAAGTGTCGTGTTTGGTCTGAGGCCAGATTTGAACTCAGGTCCTCCTGACTTCAGGGCCAGTACTCTATCCACTGGGCCACCTAGCTGCCCCTCCCATGTTTTTTAACATAATGTTTTTAGCAATGTTGTCAGATGTCTTCAAAGAGGACAAAAATGGCATCAAGATTAGCTACCGCACTGATGGGAAATTATTTAACTTGAAAAGGCTACAAGCCAAGATTAAAGTGGAGGGAGAATTGGTGTGTGACTTTTTGTTCACAGATGATTATGCACTCAATGCAGCCTCTGGGGCTGAGATGCAACAGAGTTTGGATCGATTCTCTGCTGTTTATGCTAATTTTGGCCTCACATTCAACAGCAATAAAACACAGGTTCTCCACCAGCCAGCACCACACCATCCATATGTGGACCCATCGGTTACAGAAAATGGAGAAGTTTTGGATACTGTGGATAAGTTCACTTATCTTAGCAGCATACTTTCCAGGAATGTACACACAGATGATGAGGTTGATGCACACT